TTTGTGTGCGTGCACACTTCCTCAGATACGATTCCATATAGTAGGGAAAGGAGGATAGTGTTGGAGTGAGTGACTCAGAATCCCTGGACATTGGGGGGCGCTACATCAATTTAAGTGTGTATAGGTGTTACCTCCTTGAACAGGATGCTGCTCTTTGTCTTAACCTGGGAGCTGCCCACTGACCCCTCCTCTCTCTTTTTGTCTTCTCACTCTCTTCACATGGCTTTCCATGGAGACACATGTCTCTGCAGGTCTCTCATACATGATGCCGGGCAAGCTGGCCATTTGTGACTGGGAAAATACCCTTTAGATGAGGCTTCTTGCTTTTCTTTTGACTGCAACCTGAATGTGAACTGGATCTACTTGAATAAATGTAAGTTTACCATTTTAGCAATATACTTTTTGGGAGATTTATTTACTGCACTCAGTGTCATGCTTCTATGACTGGGCAAAACTCTGCTATGTCAACCAAATATCCCAATAGATGTAGGACAAGGCGTATGGTGGTAGCCATCCACCGCACCTTCCAGGCAATGCTGATCAGGGATGCAGAGATGGTGAGAGGGGAAAACTGCCATGGGGCCTCTCATGGCCAAAGGTCCCAAATGTCTTGGTTCTCATTGCCTAAATTTAGTGAAAGAAGACTGGGTTCAAATCCAAGAAACTCGCTGAGTAGTCTTTGGCAAGTTACCAACACTTAGTTTAACCTTCCTCATTAAAATGAGCAGATAAAATGGGATCTCCAAGAGTTCCTTGGAGGAAGGGCAAGATTAGGGAGACCAAGTCTCCAGCTTCAAAGAGAGACTGCTCCTCCCCCTTTTCATTGCATGCCAGCCCACTGAGAGCCAGCAGCACAAGATCTCTTCCGCTGAACACCTGGAACTGGAGTCAGGTTGCCAGCAAGACAATGCTCTAGGAATTGGGCAAAACTCTATGGTTTATCACAGAGTTTTGTCCAAATTCTAGAGTGTCACCTCAACATTAGTGAATGACACCAGTTCTGGGTCTTTGCCAGAAGCAATGTCATTCTGCCCCCATTCCTAGCATTGCACAGTGGAGCAAAATAATCCAGCTTTCTTAACTGTTTATTCTTAGCACTTCAGGGCAGACAAGTTGGCTTGAAAAGGAAATATAGCAATACTTAAAACTAAAAGCTTCTCTGCTCCTTGTCCATTAGGCTCAGGATTATCCTGGCTTGGTTTGAACAGTTTACGTAGTCCCAGAAGTCTTGCAAGTTACTAGCAGATAAGTGTAGCTGTTCTCTCCCCCCCCCCCCCCCCGCTCACCTGCATGCAGTGAGGGTCTCTGGCCCAGCCTCTGAAAGAGGCAGCACAGAACAGTGCATCTAAGTAAATAACAAGGTATTGGTGAAACCTCTTATTCAAAATTTCTCACCACTACAACTTTCCTCCTCCCCCATAAAACTGTGCAGGGATAATATTGCTTTTCAAGAATGATTACCACATCTTTTTTGCATTTTGCATTATTTGTGCCACCGGTCTCCGCTAGCTCAAAATCTGCCCTGAATATCTGAGAGGACTGCTAACAGTAAAACTTGGCCTGATAAACCATCCATTGCAGCCTACATTTTGGCTTTCAACTTTTGACATTGACCGTAAGAAGTAACATAACGCCCTGAGCGTTCGATAGCAAAATGTTTTTCTTTCGGCTTTAATGGATCTATGATTGACTGTACCGCCCGTCCAAAAGAGGGGTGAGGCGAAGCTCTCTGAAGGGCAGACAGGCCGTCAAAATGCATCGACCTCAAATTTAATTGTATATGTTTTTATAAAGGCAGAGATTGGTTTGTAAGTTGAAATCTCTTTTAGAAGATATACGAAACAAAGCCTCTCTGATATCATTAGATGCAAGAATGGGAAGATACGCTGGCTAACCTATATTAAAAGGCAAATGACATGCTCACAGGAATGTCGAAATTATTCAGGCACTTCTCCAATACATAGATAGCTGAAATTAATCTGCATTTAGTCCAAAACAAAGAGAAGTCTTATGGCACCATATAAACTAACAAGTTTTTATGTTAGCATAAACTTTCACAGGCTAGGACCCCCTTGGTTTGGTGAATCTCCTCATCAAGCAGACATTCATATCTTAGGTTATTAAGGGAGGTTGGGGAGCTTGTAAACTGCAGGGTCCTGAAATGCATGAAGTAGAGGACAAGATACAACTATGTAAAAGTCTATGGCTGCGGTCACACGGAGCATTAGGCACGCTAGAGGGACGGAAGATAGGCAGATTTTCCGGGCGTGATCTCACCGCCACATCTGGGAAGCATCGAGCTCCCATGGCGAACCCAAGGCTTCCCGCGGAAGATGCGCGGTAAAAAACTAGTACCTCGGAGGTACTAGTTTCCTGAAACCGCGGGGCAAGGGTGGATGTCTGATCGCGTTTCCGGTGGTAGTTTCAGCGCCCGCCTATGTCCCCTCGGAAAAAGGTTTGTTTTTTTAAAAAGTCTCCACGGATGCGCACAAGCACCCAAGGGAGCATGCCACATTTGAGTTTTTTTTAAAAAAAACCAGCCCCATTTGCCCCGTGCCTTGCTTCTTTGCCGCGCCGCAGGACTGTGGAGTGATCGGCACCTCCCCCCTACCACGGGACCTCCACCGGTAGGTTTACTTGAGCAACTGCGCGGTTTTTAGCCCCGGGGCTAACAGCCATGTTTCCCCCCCGCATTTTCCTGCCCGTGTGACCGGGACCAAAGATAATTAGAGACTATTTACAATAGCTCTCTGTACCCCGTACTGCTTCTTAATTTATTAGTTTTCAGCTTCTGGGCCTTTGGGCTAAGGTCAAGTGTGGTATTCATGACAGCAGTAACATTTGATCACAGAGCCTCTTTAGTGTCACAGAACTATCATGGCTGGAGAATTCCAGGTCATCCTTAAGTCCTTGGGAGGTGATATCTCGATGAATTCCCATTCAGCATTTTTACACTAATCCTTTGAAGTTCTTTTGCTGGAGAATGGAAGTGAGGGCTCATTACATGCCTTTGAGGAAAGTGGGCTCTAATTCATGATGGTTTATGTTAGAAGAAACATGCATTGCTCTTTAAGGTGCCACAAACCTCCTGTTTGTTTTTGCTGCAGCAGATTACTGCCCTGGAATCTGAAAACCACACATCTCTACATCTCTGATTAGAACACTGTGCGCTTAACGCAGAACGCCAGTCACCATTCCAAGACAGAACGAGCCAAGCCAGGCACGTGACAGAACGCAGACATACCTGAGGCAGCCAACCTCTGAGTGGAGGAAAGGCTATCTTCAGTGACAGCCAGGAAGATAGATGTGAAAGCAGGGCCAGCCACACATGTGGCTGAATGTTCCTGTTTGGCACACGCTAAGCATGGGTGAGAGAATAACTCGGGGGTAGCCCAGAACAGTACCAACGGCTAGAGAATGCAAGCGCTGTGTGTGTGTGTGACAGAGCGACAAAATAGGGTCCCCGATAAATCAGTGTCCTGATTTCTGTCTCCTGGGGATGCCTAGTTAATATTTGGTTAGTACGAGTTACACTCTAGTCGGGGGGGAGCTCTCAGGTACGGAGCTCCGGAAGAGAACCTCTAGGGGGCGGGGCGGTCACGTGGTGAAGCCCCGCCGCCTTCTTTACCCCGCCCTCTGCTTCGATCCTCATTCCGTTTGGGAATGAGGATGAAGCAGGAGGGTAAGTAGCCGGGCCTTCTGACACACTTCCGGTGATGTCAGGGGGTGTGGCCTTCTGTCACTTCCGGTGATGTCAGGGGGCGTGGCATATGCAAATAAGTTATGCTAATGAGTTATGCTAATGAGCTCCGGCAGCTCTTTTTCTACAACAAGACCCCTGAGTACGAGTTACCAAAGTTGTCATTCTTCAGGGCTCAGCTCCCTTCCTAGAGTCCCTAGAATAAAATCAGGAAGGACTGCAGTGTTCAAGAAGTGATCCTCCTTATGAAAATAGGGGTGGGGGGGCTAGGTGAAAAGAGGGGCACATTTTTATGGAATGCTGGTGGGTATGGTTGCCAGTCTCCAGTTGGTGGCTGGAGATCTCCCAGAATTACAACTGGTCTCCAGGTTACACAGGGATCAGTTCCCCTGGAGAAAATGGCTGCTCTGGAAGGTGGACTCTATGGCATTATACGCACTGAGCAAATTCCCTCCCCAAAACTACCCTCCTTAGGCTCCACCCATCCAAATCTCCAGGGGTTTCTCAACCCAGAGCTGGCCCCCGTACTGGTGGGTCTGGTTCCAAAACAGTTGGACCTGTTGCTTTCTGACTTCCTTGAGATCGGTAATTTTAGGTAAAGATTCCAGACAGCCCATAGCCCTACAGGAAACAAAGGCTCAATACTGCATGAAAAAAATTAAAAGACAGACACCATCCAATTTACACCAGGAGCTGAGCCTCATGAGCCCCTGTACCAAGGAACCAAAACAGACATACTGAATGAAGAGCGACGCGTGACACTGGGAGGTCATGTTTAGGATTTTGAGGACATTAAACCCACCTGTTTACAGAAAGGATTTTTTATTTTATATTCTCGCTCTTTCCAAAACAAGGTGATTAAAATGTTAGGCGGCATATCTCATGTCACAAGTGTTTTTGTTAACAGAAACCCTCGAAAGAAAGAAAAAAAAGATAGACAGATGAATGGTATTCAGAGCGGAAGAAGCAGGTTTTCATGTGCTCCCTCTTAACATTCTCATTACACCTTTTCCTTCCAGCCGAAAGCGATTTTCACGTTTTAAAAGAATAAGGCCCCTTTAATGGTTTCACTCCTGTCCTCGTTCTCCCTCGCACAATCATCAGGTGGCTCGGTCAAGTGATGTTTTGAACCGTGCTAATTATCTCCTGCCTGCAATCTGGCACCTTATTCACATTCTCTCACAAGCACTGAAGTTCTGCGGAGACCGAAAATCACAACCAAATTTTCAAAGCTCTAATTAATACAGCTGGCAACAGGTCTATAAATACGTTCCAAAAGCAAGAAGGCAAAGCGAGTTACCTTTCAGAGTCTCCACCGACTGTGTCGCCCGCTCTCTGCAGAAAGGGGGAGAAAAAAAAAGGACCTTTAGCATTTGGAGCCGAAGAAGTCAAAGAGAGAGAGAGAGAGAGAAAAAAAAAAACCCAAACATGACAAGGGCTTTGCTACCGACAGGAAAAGAAGACCACAGAAACAGCCCAAATCAGCGTTTCGGTAGCTCTAACGGGAAGCTGAACACTTACATTCATTTTGAGCAATGATTTTCACAAGAAAACAAACACTCAGTACAGGACATTGAAAACTGTGTGCTAAGAAGACAGACCTGGAGCAGCCCTAAGCAGAGTTACAGCCTTCCAGGCTCATTGACTTCAATGGACTTAGACAAGTGCATCTCTGCTTAGGCTGGCAGTACAAAACGTGCATTCTGCCCGCCCTCCAGCTGCCCGTCTGCTGTTGCTGTGATGTCACAGAATGTTCACAAACATTATGTAAATATAAATAAATAAATAAATAACTTGAGAAAGGAAAGAATCAGTTTTCAGAAGGTCTTGTGAGTCCAGCCCCCAGCTCCAGCAATATGCAACTACCAAGGGACCTGTACGCCCCTCAATGCCTGCCTCCCCCACAAAACGCATGCAGCCATTTTAGTGTCTATTAATGGATTACTATGTAATCCACCTTGAGGCTCTGTGTGAAAGGGGGACTACAGATACAGTAAATACATGAGGTAGCCCGGAGCATGAGAAGGTGGGTGCAGATGTACACACCCAAATACATATTGTATCAGCTGCACACACAGAAACCTTCTTGCTAGACTGGGGCAAGTAGTGAAAGGCTAATTTTGGTCCTGTTCACACTAGAGGTTTTGGGCCGGGAGCGGGACGGATCGGGGGCAGAGCAAACGGGCACGATCCCACGGCAACATCTGGGAAGCGTTGCCTGCCCGTCCCCGATCTGTCCTTTCCGCCAGAAAACCCGCACTACAAAGAACCACCTACCTGGGTGGTTCTTCTGCTTGAAGCGCCGCAAGCCGGGCCGTTGAATCGCCGGCGCGTCTTTGCGCCGGCTCATCCCCGGCTCCTAGCCGAACTGCACCTGCTCCGACATGTGCAGTTCGGCAGGCTCCCCGTCTGAACTGTGTTTTCTCCCCGGCATCTGATCATGCCGGGGAGAAAAGGCGCCACGGCCCAGGGGATCGTGGGATCCCGCCGCGGCGTCTCAACTTTGGTGCGGCTTTTAAAAGCCGCGCTTTGAGCGACTTATCCCCTGCCGTGTGTGTGGCAGGGGCCTTTGTTGGGGGGGGGGGAGGCTGAGGGACAGAAGACTTGTTGCCAATATTTTGCGGGAGTACATAATTTCAACACCATTTTTGTCCATGGGCAACTCAAATTTCGAGTGGGGGAAAAAAGTCCCCCACCCCTGCCGTGCAAGCTGAGCACACAAAAAGATTGTGCAGCCAGCCAAACAGCTTGAAAGCCCAAACAGGCAAGCTCTAAAATTGTCGTACCATTTGTCTATTTGCAAACACTGTTCCGATGTGTGAACAGTTTCAGAACTGCACTCTGGAACCTTTGCAAGGCAGTCGTTAGCGATCACATCAGCAGTTCGGAAGGGATTTGGCACACGATGCTTTCCTCCTGGGTGAGGCTTTCTATATCCTAAGACTCCCATACATAATAGCTGTTGCAATTAACCTCTTTCTTGGCATGCAGTGGCTATTCATGCAAATCTATCCAGAGATGCAAAAATGTTCATTTCTTGAAACATGACGGTCACCGTGGAAAGGGAGTTCAGGATAGTCTTTTCCCTGTTGTGGGGTCAGTTTAAGGGTGAAACTAGAGCTTGCGTGTATAGTCCTGAAATTATTTTCCCTGACCTTTTTTTAAAGCAGAAGTCTGCAGCTGTGTGGGTGGTGATTCTTCAGGGGATGGCCCGGAGCAAAGGCTATTTAATCCATTTCCCTCCTCATGCCATTTTCCCAGCTAAAAATCACCACTACCAAGCTGCTTTTACCCTTCCCGTGGGAAATCTAGTGTCGTTACTTCTACAGTATGGGTAAAAGCAGGGGTTTTTTTGGGGGGGGGGCAATTTTAAGGGGAGAAATGCCATTTGGGAAAGATTTAAGTAGCCCCACTCCGGCAAATTTAGAGTTTACAGTGCTGCATTCTGTTAAAAGGGGAGGGATAATGACAACACATAGTTCTGTCTTCAGAGGAGCACGCAAAACAGAAGAAAGACCAAACCATGCCAAATTGGCTTATTGGTAGAATTCAATAACATACATATTTTACTATTGACATTTTAACCAGTGGATTGCATGACAATGAATCAGAGATCAGGATCTGCAAATAATGCAAGGTTTATTCTGCTGATTTTACTCGTCTCAAATAAGGATAACTGGATCTTGCTTGTTCTGTTCCAGAACCGAGCAGACACAATGTGCTGAAGTTTTCATTCCCTTCAGCATATTTGTATCTTCCCACTGTTACTAATACAGCTCTGCAAACACTGTAAAACAAACAAACAAATGATCTTGATGTGATTGGATATGTAAATGTCTCAAGATTCTTTTGGTGTAGTGTTTTACTGATCTATGCACACAAGCTCCCATGCATTTGTAAACAGAACGAAAAGACTCTTAACAGAGTTGCTGGTTTGATCGCATGTTGATTGCTATTTTGCAATACCAGTGATGTAGAATGGGTGAAAGATGCAAATGGGAGGAAGGAACTAAAAACTGTGGCAAACTCTGCAATACTATTTTGAAATATTTTGGAAATCCAAGCAGAAACAATGGCTAATGTATCCACTTCACTTCCGAAGCAAGACCAGGTAGCTCAAAACTCCAAAAATCCAGGGAGAATTCTGTTTGTTGAAATTAGGCAACTTTTGGCATTACCCAATTATTGTCAAAAGGGCACAGTTGCACAGTTTCCGTGTGCCTATTACCTGGATCAGAATGACATACTGAGTTGTATTAATTCTCACAGCACTTAAATATCAAACTGGGGAAGAGCTGATACAGCAACCAGACAGTATTTCAATAACCTAAGGGTTCTTTTATTATTGCAGATATACTAAGATGTTGAATCAGGTGATTTAGTTGGAAATGTTTTCTTCTAATTTTTGCTCCAGAGACAGCTTAGACTTCAAACCATCTTTGGTGTAGTGGTTAAGTGTAATAACTTAACAGACCACAAGGAGGAGGAGGAGGAGGGGGAAGCCATGTTCTGCTGATGGAAATCCTTCCAACAGTGGAAACACTGTGGGATCCAACCCCTAATTTCTATGTTGCAGAATCAGCTAATTCACAAACCCACAGAAAACACGCTGGGAAGCTATGGGGTAGAGGAGGGTAGGTTATTTGTGGTGGTCAGAATGGCCATAGAACTGTCAGTCCCACTTCTGGAGAACATCCACCTGCCTCTTTCAGTTCTTGGTTTCAAGCCACGTCATTCTTCTGTTTTAGACACTGCCTTGTGCTGTGCGAGAAGGAAGATTACAGAGAAGTTCTAAAACAAATACATACATTTAAGCGGCCGGAGTCGGAACACCCCACCTGTCCTGCAATCACATCTTTTTTGCGTGGTTTTTTAAAATCAATGCGCATGGGCAGTCATGTGCATCAATGACCCAGGAGGAAAGGGAAAAGATGCAGACTGAAAACTGGTGGACCATGCGCACCGCAAAATGTACTGGAAAGGAGGAGAAGCAGAGCCCAAGTCTCACAGCAGCAGCAACAACAACAGAGGAAAGGGGGACATCTGCTCATCCCCATGTCAGGTAGTCTTTGGCTGGCTCTTGTTTTCATATTTCTTCTGGTACTTGACAGATGTAGTGGTGCCCATTCAACAAAACATCATCAGAGTTCATTCCCAGCTAAGTGATGTTTTGTTATTGCGAGGATCATTGCACAAGTGGTAGCACTGGTCACAGCCCGATCCGTGCACAGTCACAAGCACTTGCCCTGTTTTGAAATACCATTCTTCATCGGGATTTTTCATTTAAGTTATAGCATTTATGCCAACATTCTAAGTGCTAACGCTGTATCTTGCACATGCAGAAATAGCTCTTTGGATACGGGGGTGGGGGTTCTTTGCAGAACAGGGTACCTCAACTTTTTAAAAAGCTGCTTCTGTTAATGTAATAACTTTTGTGCCAGCCAAAGTGGACTGCAGGATCCATGCCAGTGTGCCATCAACTCAACAGAAATAAATAAGATTTAGCATATGTGCAATAGTGCCAGAACCTAGCCCTATTTCAGAAGTCATCGGCTTTTAGTGACCGTCATACAAAACAACAGGTGCTTTCATACATACTAAACAATGCCCTTTCAATCCACTTTCAGTGCACATTGCAACTGGATTTTACTGTGTGAAATGGCAAAATCCACTTGCAAACTGCATTATTTAGTATGTGTGAAAGTCCCCACCATTGGCAGTACAGAGAGAGAAGAAGAAAAGAAAAAGAGAAGAGGTGGAATTTATGCCCCATCCTTCACTACCCGAAGGAGTCTCAGAGCGGCTTACAATTCCTTCCCCTTCCCACAACAGACACCCGGTGAGGTAGGTGGGGCTGAGAGAGCTCTTTCAAGGACTGCTTGTGAGAGAACAGCTCTGAAAGAACTTGTGACTGACCCAAGGTCATGCCAGCAGCTACATGTGGAGGAGTGGGGAATCAAACCCAGTTCTCCCAGATTAGAGAATGCACTCTTAACCACTACACCAAACTGGCTCTCACTACACCAAACTGGCTCTGCTTCTTTAAAAGCACCAGGTAGATATTGAAACATTTCACCTGTTTTTAAAACATGCAAAATGGAACTTAAAGGGGGGGGGAGAGCCCAACCCTCATCTGATAGTAGTCATCAAATTTAATTATTCTGCCGTGGAAGCTGAGTCGTAGTGGTGATAAATATCAATTTAGCCTGATTGCTAATAGGTTCTTTAACAAATTCTAGGAAATTTGTGTTTAATTAATGAAGGTCTGACACTGAAAGGCCCACTTGGCTTGAGGAGTCCTTCATCATGCAAGCAGCCCCGTTGACTGCAAGGGA